ATACAGTAAACGTCCTGTAGACATTTTTATTTCATTTTTTTTTTCAATTTTAGTTTTGTTTATTTTATATTTTTTTCACACAATAATTAACACTATCTTTAAAAGATAAGCTATATTTTTAAAAAATTGAACAAAAATATGTTTTGTTTTCTATCTTTTAATTATAGTGGTGTTTTGTATCACAAAGGAAATTTGATTTTCCTGATTTAAAGACTGTCTGAACAGTAGAATTACCCATAAAATTTGGAGTCTCAAATTATGGCTGATGTTTTAACATCAAAATGCCTAAAATTAATTGTTTTCGGTTCCGTGGTAGAATTGAATCAAATATMATTATTCATAACAAGGACAAATTCAAAAAGATAGTCAAAAAATTAATCTCTATGTAAAAAAATATAAATTGATCATCACTTTTTGGCTGTTTTTTTAGATGATTGTATATAGTGCATTAGCAAAGACCATATTCAGACTTTCAGACAAATGCTTATAAGCTCTAAAAGCACTCAAAGTCAATACTTGTTATGTACATATGATATTATTATTTTTCATAATATGACGGAATATGGGCGTCATGAGATAAATATGCTGATCATATTTAATTGCTATACATTCAATTTCAAAATGCATGTTCACTTGTTTTAATATCACATTCAACTTGTCAAATAAACAGATTATTAGTTATATATCTCAAACTTTTAACTTTAGAGTACCTAGGTATTTATCATTTGATCAGTATATTAAAGTCAGAACTATACATTGTTTACCCTTAATATCCTAATTAAACCTAAAGCTCATTACAGCTTCTTGATATGGTCATATTACATATTATGGAGCTTAGAGATCAAAGAAAGAAGGATGAGATTAGTTTTAATATAGATGATTAAAGGGACCGACAGAAATTCACAAGAAGTCGCAGACTACAATATAGTAATTTATTTGTACACCTACAGTACTGGTGGGTGTGAACTAGTACACTAACTTCTAATTATTATGTTTTTGGTTGACTGGATTGTTATTCCTTGCAATACAGTTATATATGTTTTGTTACAAAGATTGTAGGATAAGGTTAACAATTGAAAGTGATGAAAGAAAAGAAGAAGAAGAAGGTTGCAGGTGAAAATTTACAACTGGGAAATGAGAAGCATGGAGAATGAAAAAGGACAAAGGAATGAAAACAAAAAGAATGACAGCAAGAATAAGAAGTAGAATAAGAATGAAATAGGGAAGGAAATGTGAAGGGGAACATTAGGAGAAAGAGAATGAAAAAGAAAAATAAGAAGGAGAGAGGAAGGAGRGCAAGAAGACGAAGAATTAAGGAAAAGGAGAAAGAAAAGGAAAACGAGAGGAAGAGAATGCTGGCAACAAAGGAAAAGGATAATCAACATATAAATTGTTTTCTTTAATTAATATGGTCCTGAAATAATAATTAATTGACAACTTAGCCCTTGTAATTATTTTTACTACTGCTACATATTAGCTGTTTAATTAAACAACACTTTGAAGGCAAAAATTCATTCATTGCTGGTTTTAGAACTTACAACGAGGTCTTTATTGTGATGGAGATAATAAACAACACATTGAAAAAATTGATCTCATTCATTACTTTTGAACCATTATATATTATACATTGCCACCAGCTTATCTATATCAAAGTGGTGAGAGGAAATATACATCAATCCCACAGGAAAATGAATGAAAAAAAGAAAGAAAGAAAGAGAGAAAGAACAAATGAATGATCAAAATAAAGAATAAGGATTGAAAGTCTAAGAACAAATAAAAGGAACAATTGCAGCAATGAAAGATAGAATGTGAACATGTGAAAAAAAGGGAAAAGGGAAAAAAGAAATGTTAATAGAGAAAAAAAGGGAAAAAAAGATGAAAGGAACTATAACTTCTTTTTAGTGTAACATATAATTATCACACTACTAAACTTAATTGCATCCTTATAGTTTCATAAACTCTCATGTATAAATATTGTTACATTATGATTTTAAAATCTTGAAAGTGCTCAGTTTCTTTCATAATTTTTTAATATGTTTGCGCCCTTTTGTTATTTAGAACTGCATGATGACAAAGCACTTTTTAAAATCAGCCAATAAACAAGACTTCAAATCAAACTTAGTCACACTTCTATTATAAGCACAAGCAGGGAGGCCAATGAAATAAAAAAACCTTCAAAATGAAGTGTTTTTTGAAATCTTTTGGTAGTCAAGTTTGAATAATCCTCTTTAATCCAAAAATTGAAAATGAGACAGTGCAAAATAATATAGTARCTTGATCCAATATATGAATCAAATATCCTTAGAAAGCATAAAAAGCTGGAGTAAATTTAAATTCAAAGATATGCATGTTGTAAATATGACCAAAAAACATACAATGTGTCRAGTTTGTTACTGACAATGCATAAAAATTGAAGTGAAGAAAAATCGACATTTCTTCCCAATTATTGCTGACAATTTTTATCCTTTCACAATTAAATCAAAAATTTGAAAGATTTTTTGATGGATTAGCTAAATATAGAGCTGTTTATGAAGAAAGTGATGGGCACCCAAATGAAATTGTGTCCAGAATCTAGTGTTAATAAAATATGAAATGAGGGATTACTTTTGAAAGTCATCATATTTGAATCAAGAACAGAGAGAAATATTACATAGTTATTTTGATTCTTTGAAGTGAAGTAGTTCAACCAATCAATCTTTTAATGATTTCAAATTGATAAGAAAACAGAATCTCGCTTATATTACTACATGTATGTTGTGGAAATATAACTGAATACTATGAATTTAATGGTTTTGTCCAAATCTTTGCAGTGTGAAATGGGAATGCATAAGAAGACAGACAATCAAAAAAAGAATAAATGGAAATGTAAAATATTTTGTCGCGCGACTGAAAACGCGAGAAAAATACAATTTAGCTGTAAATTAAATAACACTCAATGAAAGAAATTCTGAATTGTATAAGAGTATTATTGTTTGAAAATTTCATTTCCTCGCTTAAAAATATTCAAAAACGTATTACATATTGTAGAATACCTGTATAAATTAGTTAAATAATAAGGAAAATAAAAAGATTATTACAGACAGGTAAAATGCGCGCTGTAGAAACCTCKAAAATGTATATATTTCGGTCGAAAGTGTACATAAACATACGTTGAAATTATCTAGCCACGAATCGCTGAAATATTAACAAAAAATAACCAAGAAAAAAATACCTTGTCAGAGAAGATTGACTCCCGCGATGCAATCCCAATAACGGGGATATTATAAAAGCCACAAGCATAGGAAATGGCAATCGGTGGATTTGGCTTTTCAGTGGAATGGCTCACCAATATWAGATGCACGCTTTTTGTGATAACATTGTCGCATACATCGAGAGCGGAACGAATGGGATTTGAACTTAAAACAGAAGCAGTTGAATTCAAGCGGACGTCGTTCAACAACACCGTGCTATTCTGATTGAGTGTTCTGACAGCATCGTTGAAGAATTGTTCCGATCGCTGTGAAGAAAGCATAGCTCCAATATTAAAGTATTTCAAAGCACTTGACGGGCTTCCCTCTAGAGAGAGAAATGTCAACAYCACCAACAAAACTCCATGTTTTGGTCCACAGATCCACATTTTTCGACTAAAGCAAATCATAAAATTTGCAATGTTATATAATTTGCCAGTAATTACGGTTGAAATCAGTCGCGTTTATGAYTCGTTGACAAACCCGCTCGCAAAATGCATAAATTTCACGTTTTCTGAAATTTACATTGTTTTTCCTCGATCATTCGTTCTTCACAAACACTCGGTCCGAAKTCGGTCCATTTGGAACATAATAGATACTTGGTATCAAATTCTTCGGACCCTCTTTAGGACGTGAGGATTTGTAAGCTTTCTGAATGTAAACAGCTTCTGAATTAGAATATTGAGCAGCTGAGCCGAGCGAAMAGCGCGCATGAATTCAACGCGCCAAACAGCGGAGTCACCAGCTGGTCCTGTCACGGACGTTACCATAACAACCCCTTACATATTACATCGAGTGCCCCTTTTTCAAATAATTAGATTACGATTATTCGCTAAAAGCGGTAAGAAAATGTCGAGAGTTGGACAGAAATGCTACGTGGGCGAAAACGAACTAACTTAAGCTATCACGTCACGACAAAAACTCAACAATTAAAAGTGTCAGGCTTCGAGGAAAATTATCGTGAAGATATTTGTCCCGACTTGCATTGTACTAATTTGAACCGGAAAGAAGTAACCAATTTATTTCAATAATTATCAAATTAGAAMAAAATATGGAATATCTTAACAGTAATTATAAGCGTCTGTGAAATCCTAAAACTATGACAACAAAATGACAGGACCAGCTGAATTTTCATTACAATGTGAACAATATTCAAATAAATGGAGCAATATCTTATGAATAATTAGAATTGATAGACAGTTCAAAATACATGTAATTGATTAAATAAATGAATGGTTAATTTAAATGAATTCATGTTTTGAATAAAATTATGATTGACTGGATGGTTACATAAATGAAGTTAGTGAATGGATGAATAGATTAAAATAAAAGGGAAAAAATGAAAGAAAATGCAAGATGAATGCAAAAGTAACAAGATTTACCAATGAAAGAGCCCCCAGGGTAGTGCAGTAACCCTAGAAAACAAAAGACCCCCCTGAGGCAACATTTCTCACAGAACAGGCCTTACACAAGAGGCAGATTCAGGAGTTTTGTCAGGGGGGAGCAACATTGAAAATGACACACATGCATGTTAATGTCTCACATTAGGACATGTTATAAAGGACACTATATAACATTAGTGCCTTTTTGTTCTTGAAAACCTCTATCCACCTTATTATCAGAACAATACGAAAAAGAACAAAAACAATAATTAAAGTAAACCCTCAGTTTGATTTTTACACAACCTCAGTAGGTCAGAACAAATAGCTCTTAAAGCGACCTGTGTCAGTAATATATGTTCTCAAGTCATGTACAGTAGGAGGTATTAAGCGATGAAGAAACTATTTTGTAGCAAAGGCGTGCATTTGTACAAAATATTGTGACAAAAATTAAAAGGACAAAACCGAAACCACCGTGAAAATATTAACTTGATACGCCTGACCTCAATGAACGAGCAACTGATGCATACGCACACAAAACTCTATCATGCTTAAAAGCATAGATAACCTTTGTATCATCCAAATTAAGTCAAAAGTGCCCCAATATGTGCCCACTTTTGCTTGATCACATTCTTGATCACATTCTTCAAAACTGCATTCTGACAAGTCAACAACAAGCACCATAAAATCATTAAATGAAAACGTTTATTGGAAAATTATGATATACATGCACAGTAACTATATAATAATTACAATAACTGTATGTCCTTAAATCTTTAGCTAAGCTTGAATGGAATACAGCAATACAAATTTTTTGAGTTCAAACTTTTTTCCCTGGAAAAAAATCATTTAAAGAAATGCTGTAATTGGGTCATGCATTTTATTATTATTTTTTTGCTACCTCACTCGTCTGGTGCTTTTGTCAATTTACCCCCTTATAACATTGGATTACATAATAAAGTGCTTACTGACCAAGTTTGGACAGACCATATGGGAAAAATTTGTGCTTGTTCCTCAAAGAATGACCTTGGGCAAAATATTTTGGTGTAATTGGCCCAATCAAACTCAGTCAATATAACTACTATATACATAAATATAATTATTTCATACACTGAGACATGATCGCCAGGTCTGGGAATCAAACCCATGACTGTAAACCCAAAGTCTGTTGCTTTAACTAACCATCATGTCTCTTTTAATAGGATGAGGATGAAACAGTAGAGTTTGAAGTCACAATAACAGGGCACATGGACCCTTTAGTCTGATTCAATTACAAATCACTAGATAAAGAACTATCTTTCATGATTTCTATTAGCAATCATAAGAATACTGAGGTTTTATGTTTAAGAAATATAAAATGGTGCGCGTGTCTCTGTCCTCTGATATAAACACGGTGGGAGTTCGAAAAACACGAGAGAAGCAAGCTTAGGAACACGAGTGTAGCGAGTGTTTCTCTTGCTTCTCGAGTGTTTTTCAACTCCCACTGTGTTTATATCAGAGGACTCAGACACAAGAGGCCGTTTTATATTTCTTTTATAAAATTTTTCGAGCGAAAAGAACATTTTGCCGGTAAGCCGTGTCTCTGTCCTCTGATATAAACACGGTCGTCAGCCAATCAGAGCGCGTGTTATATATCAAAAATTTTATAAATTAAAATAAAAACAGTTATCATTATTATAATAAATAGAAGTATCATCAATTCTAATATTGCATGCTGGTGCTGATTTTCTAAGTTTATTTATACATCTCTGGGTAATTTTCATGCTTCTCGGACCACATGTAAGAGAATTGATAGATGTTGATGGCAATACTTCACCAAGGATAAATAGCCCTTTATCAGTAAAGCAGCTAGAAGACGACGCAAAAACATGATGTAAAAGACTGAGTGTGGTGATGTGTGTTGATGGTAATACATTACTAAGGGATGATATCCCTTCATCAGTTACGTTACCATGAAGGTGAAGTGTGGTGATGTGTGTTGATGGTAATACATTACTAAGAGATGATATTCCTTCATCAGTAAATTTACCAGTAAGGTGAAGTGTGGTGAGGTGTGTTGATGGTAATACATTACTAAGGGATGATATCCCTTCATCATTAATATAACTAACGTGAAGTGTGGTGA